TCTTGCCAACTTTTCTTCAACTTTGACACTGCCAATCGCAATAAGAAGGGCATTGCGTGACTTCACCTACACATGAAGTCATAAAGGTAATAAACATATGCATATTCAATTGGCACAGCACTTGCGCCAAAGGGTTATACAGATGCATATACAGAAGGTGGTGTGTTACCCCGAAGGGCGGTTTTACTGGCTATACAGTTAAATAATTATACAGAAGCTAGTGTGCTATGCTTAAGGATGGTTATGGTCTCATAACACAGTATTTATGGGTGAATCCTGTAGTCAAAAGTAGTCCGGGCACAAAGTAGTGCGGCAAGGAACTTGCAAAAGATGCCGAGATTGTTTCGTGCAGGATAGCGAGGTGAAAACTATGCTGAGTTGTAGAGGAATGCATCGGGTTTAACACCGTATAATTTTAATTAGGATGTTTGTTACAACCTCGTCGGCTGCAGTTCACATGATTCCCGCAAAGAGACAAATGTGCTTTATGGAAAAACGGGCCGGCAAACTTGAGCTGATTTTCACATATTTTGTAGGGTGTAACCTTAACCCAAACATATTGAAGTTTTGTAACTTTCTTGTGTACCCTACTACACATTTTATGGCGACAAACTTTCTTACTTTGGGCTCCTTAACTATAGAAGTCCCCATTGGTCAAAAACTGTGTACTACTACTTTATACCAGCTGTACAGATACAAAAGCTGGTTTCTATGAGAAACAGGTCGTGAATTGATACAGCCACATTAGAACTTTCAAGAATGTTCTTCGCGTGAAAGAACTTCTGTCTAATCTCCAAGCAGATCTTTTGGTGGCAAGACAGTATCCATTGGCCAGAGGAGTGTCCATTAGCCACCGAAGATCTGCCGGTACTCGAACAGGGAGGAGCACTTCTTTTCAAAAATGGTGTTGCTGCCCCTCCTTGTGCCCCTATTAACAGCTATCAAAAATTTGTTGTGCTAAGATTTTTACAAGCAGTTTATGGCTTGAATCTGGGACAAATGCAGTCACCCGCGCACATCTCAGTGGGAGTTCTCGCCTAACCCTGTCCAGATAATACTGTATGCTGGTACATAGTATGCTGGCTGAAACATAGAAATGTCAATAACTGGGGTCCTTGTGGTTCAAAACTGCAGATATCACAAAACATATGTTGAACATTCTTTTCCTTTAGTTAAGCTGTCCAAAATAACAGTTGGTGAGGGGACCCATAGAAAGACTTCCTGTAATGCTCAACCAGCTGGCCCACTAGGAGGGCAAGAGCCTTGCCTGGTGGTCAGGGCAATAAACTACTTGGCAAGAATATTTTGATCAGGCAACAACTAGGTGTTAATAGCCTTTGACGTTTCGACTGCAGGCAGATCTTCGGTGGCTAATGGACACTCCTCTGGCCAATGGATACTGTCTTTCCACCAAAAGATCTGCTTGGAGATTACTTCTGTCTGCGAGTGGTACAAAAAACTGTAGATTATCTTCGTATGGAAACTGAAAACATTACTACCAAATGTACAGCGCTATTTTATTACTCCGCGAAGGAGGTCAGGACCTCCGGACGGAGTGTTGTAATCGGCTGATTTTTCATGTTCGCAGTCAAAACACTGGGTTCTCTTTGTGTAATCGGCACGCAATTTTATACGCCGTTTGCGGGCATGCCCGTGTTGATGCACGAATGTGTATTTTTGCCGTTGCTGCTTTCGCGGTCAATGTAATATCGCAGACGCACCCCTACAATTACGAGGCGAATTGGAATGGTCCAGAAAAACGCGTTGTTTGGAATAGCAGTGGGGTTCAAAAAAGTTCATGCAGATACGGGGTGGTTTTTATAAGTGGTTCCAGATGTTTTTGCCCATGGTTAAGAGATGCCAAGTTTTTTGGAAGATGTTCGCAGCCAAAACGCATTCTTCCGTACGTCGCATTTCTGTGTAATTTCGCATGTGGTGTTGCATTATGTCCGGGATGATGCACGTCTTTTTATTTTTACCGTAGCTGTTTTGATATTGGAGTAAATGCTTATTTTCGAAACATCCCCATTTCTTTGAAATGGTTTCGTCCGTTTATGCAACTGTTACTGCGCTAATGACGACCAGTCGCGCTGTCCTGATACACCGCGAATGTGCGAGTGTTCCCTGTAGACAGTCCCGGGAGTCATTTTTTTGCACATTCCAGGAGCCAAACCAAAATACGTTCATGAACCGAGTCCAAAAAACCGAAACGTGAAAATCGGATGATCGGACCTGATGTACATTTCTCTTTCTATAGATTGTACACACAATACACACATCTTTAGATAATCTGGCCATGGCAGGTTAAAAAAAAGTAACCCTGAATCATACTAGATTAGCGTAAATGCATGTTAATGCGTTCAAAACAAGAAAAAATTGTTTCCGGGTATTAATCTCTTGAATCACGGCGCTGAATATTGACGCAAAAATATTTCGGGCATCGCGCGCCCTTCCCGCGTCACGTGTAGGCATCTCGCATCTCTGATTGGTTGTTGCGTCTTAAGATGACTGAGCCGACGCGCGTTTAAACAATTTTTCTTTGTTCGATTTATCACACTTCACAGAGAATTGTCGCCAATGGCTACTTCTTTTTGTTGCAATATATAATACTTCACGGAGAATTGTCGCCTATGGCTTCTTGTTTCCATTCTATTCAGTATTTCTCCAATGTAAAACAAAATACTAGGAACATTTGGAAAAAATCTAAACCAATGCTATATTGAATCATCAATCTTGAATTTTCAAAAATAGTTTTTTTTCATGATAAAGTCTAAAATACATTGTAAACATACTAAAGACTTTCATCTAAACCTTTTTTAAAAGAAATGGAAGTATTGATGAAATTTTAAGGGAAAAAAACTGTATGTACCTGTTCTAATGATATGGTCCGCCATCTTGGATTTTGGCCAATGACATCATCAAATTAGCATAAATTATGCATATTTCATGATAAAATTTACATAAAATTATATGGGATGTTATTGATATTAGAAGCCATGAGTAAGTTGACATAAAACCCATAAAATTCTATTGCTGAAACAAAAATTACTACATTTAGCAAAAAATGCCTCTCAGAAACCCGTTGCCATGGCAAGAAAAAAAATATTATCTTATTACAATGATAAAAAATTGTTGCCAACAATATTCTAGGAAAAGTCACCAAGTTTGGCCGTTCTAGCGCTAGCCGTTTAGACGCTAGGTGACATCAAAGTTGGCGCGGGCACTTTTAGCC